GGATTGAAAAAGGACATTTGGGGCAGACTGATTATGTGTACAGACTAATTTTCACCTCGAAAGTGAAAGTCATCAACCTGTGAGTCACTTGGCCAGGATTCTTGAAGCAATTTCCCTTGTACATGCATTATCCTGAACACATAACAGTGCAGAGTAAAAGCTGCCTCTTTTTTCACCCCCCTGCAGTCATCAGTTATGCCAAAAAGCTTTCTGACACTTCCAGAAATCTAACAGACAGTAGCACCTTCATCCCTACTTAAAGCCACACTGCCTGTAATATCAAATACAAATCAATACATCAGAGGTGTGGTTACAGATTTGGGAAATACAGGAAATTTTTGTGTCAACAGTACCACCTGCTGGATTTCAAGATAAGAGAGTTAGATACTTTTCAACACTGATAAAAATCAGATTAAGATGCAATTCATCACCCTTCTTGCACAAATGCCACCATAACTAAACCATTACAAAGTAACTAGGAAAAAAATACCAGATTTTCTAATGAGCTGCCAAAAACATGCAGAAAAATCGAGGACATTTTCAATATGTACTTCTTGTTAAACCAGATACTCAAAACTCACTACACACAATTCACATGAATAAGAAAAAAAAAAAAAATAAAAATCAAGTTGGTCAGCCTAGTAGCCCCATTTAAAAACAACATGCTACCACTACTGATGTGTTACACATGGTTTCTTTTTTTTGTTGTTGTTTTAGACAGTGTTATACATGGTTTCTTTTTTTTGTTGTTGTTTTAGATTGATTATATAACTAATCTGTTATTCCACTACAACAGGGTGAGCAAAGTTCACAAAAAGTGCTCCCAAAGCACTAAACCACATGAACTAGAAACCCCTATAACCTGTTACTTTTTGAACTACCATTTCTAATCTCACAGCATCAAGAAATACTCAGCAAGCAATTAATCAAAGAGCACTGCAACCTGTAATGGAGGAGAGCACACTTTGCCAAGTGATCACTGCTGTGTTTATGAAGATAAGCTTAATATAGAGCCCAAATTATCCCCAACATCTGAATTTGCTTCCAATGTTCAAACCATCACTGATTATCAGTGTACCTGAGCACACAAGGATGCTGTTGAATTAATTGCAAACTACACTTACTCAGAATTTCTTTAAGCTCATTCCAGGAAGCCTAACAAGAACCAGTTATTCAAGGACTTAACTGAAAGGTTATCTCTGAACTTAAGGAGTAAATACAACAGCCTTGAAAACCCTCAGTAATAACCTGTAAGTCCTTTGTTACAGAACAAGAGATTGTTACCATACTTCCTGCTACTTTTCAATAAACAGCTTCCTGGTGACCTTGTGAAGGCACTTCAAAAGAACCAAAGTTCTGCTTGAACCATTCACCTTTTCAGTTCTGTCTCACCAGCTCATACTGCCAGAAAGCTGTGCTCTCTCTCTATGCTGAGCTCTCTCCAAGTGTGCTTCTTCCTCTCTCTTTTTTTAGATGCAGCAAAGTTTATTTTAGCCACATAGGAATTATCATCTGATGGGTCCACTGGGGGACTGCAACCAGCCAAGAAGCCTCAGTTCTAACCTGAAGCTCTATATACACTAAGCTCAGCTGCTCTGCTAGAGCTTTTGTGCACTCCTGCAGGCAATCTCAGCCTCGCTAGGGAGGGATGGGCAACAGGTGACCTCCTGCTGCTCCCCCTTCCACAAACCTCGTCAGCCTCCCACCATGACTGGGGAACTTTTGATGTCCAGTTGAGAAAGCCCAGGCCCATGTTGTGACTTATGTAAAGTACTTAGTTAAGCAACAGGATAACCCTCCCTGATGGCTAATTATAGCTGCAGGGAACACATACAAGCACTTAAATACTTTACAATAATGTATGGTATCACTGGCTTGTGGAATAAATTGCAGGATACAGTCAGAGTCATAGAATCACAGGATGGTTTGGATTCAAAGGGACCATACAGATCATCTAGTTCCAAGCCCCCTGACATGGGCAGGGACACCTCCCACTAGACCAGGTTGCTCCAAGCCCCATCCAACCTGCCCTTGAACACTTCCAGGGAGAGGGTATTCACAGCGTCTCAGGGCAACCTGTTCCTGTGTCTCACCACCCTCATAGTAAAAAAAAATATATTTCTAATATCTACTCTAAATGTCCCCTCTTTTAGCTTAAAACCATTACCCTTTGTCCTATCACTCCATGCTCTTGTCAAAAGGCCCTCCCCAGCTTTCCTGTAGCCCCTTCAGGTACTGGAAGGCCACTGTAAGGTCTCCCTAGAGCCTTCTCTTCTCCAGGCTCAACAGCCCCAACTCTCTCAGCCTGTTTTCACAGCAGAGGTGCTCCAGCCTTCTGATTATCTTCATGGTCCTCCTCTGGACTCACTCCAAAAGCTCCATGTCCTTCTTATGCTGTGGGCCCCAAAACTGGACACGGTGCTCCAGATGGGCTCTCACAAGAGCAGAGGGGAACACTGAAGCAAAAAAATATATATACCTTGATCAAAATCACTGAGGAAAGAAACTGGGTAGATGTTGCACGGTTTATGAGGAATAGGTATTATACTCTTCACACGATGCTTGGGGGTGGATGTATACACCAACATTCAAATTCAAGGATTTTTATTGAAAAGGATAGTGCAGGAGTCTGCTATAAAAAACTAAGAGAAGGTGGCAACATTTTAAGAAAAAAAAAAAAATAGCAGAAGAGCTTTGAAACTTTCAGGTTTCCTCTGTTTTACTGACAGTTGTGCAATGAGGGCAAGGCAAGGAGCTCTCGCATGGCAGCTCCGCACAGGGAGCCACAAACCACTTGCAAAGGGGAAAACAGACTGAACATGAAATCAAGCCCTACTCCGTCTAAAACCAGGAGCTTTCTAAATGAGGCGAACATTTAAAAATATTCAAAATAAGGGGGGGGAACCACCTACGTCTTAGGACGAACATAAACGGAAAGGGACACAATGCGAGTAACGTTTCCCATGAAGTAAAAAACGGCAGAACTCTGCTGGATGAGCCACGTCCGAGGCAGGGCAGGGGGGTTGGACTGGATGATCTCTGGAGGTCCCTTCCAAGCCCTCAGATGCTGTGACTGTGCGAGGAAGGGGCCGCACAGGCCCAGCCCATCCCCAGCCAGCCGGGGGGTTCCCCGACACCTGCAGGCCCGTGGCCGCGCTGCTCTGCAGGGCCAACCGGCCCTCGGTGACAAGCGGGCTGCAAGCTGAGGCCCAGCCGGAGCGCTCCTGGGTTTGCCAACAGGCAGGCAGCACGTTCCAGCAGCTTTCAGGCAGCAGCAGCAGCAGCCGGGGCCCGGGCGCGCCGA